AGTCTGAAGTCATCAAATTCATGACTCGAGTCTGACTCGAGTCCAAGTCACATGACTCGAGTCCACACCTCAGAGGTGGGACAAAGTCATTGTTATGCAAGTCCAAGTCGAGTCTGAAGTCATCAAATTCATGACTCGAGTCTGACTCGAGTCCAAGTCACATGACTCGAGTCCACACCTCAGAGGTGGGACAAAGTCATTGTTATGCAAGTCCAAGTCGAGTCTGAAGTCATCAAATTCATGACTCGAGTCTGACTCGAGTCCAAGTCACATGACTCGAGTCCACACCTCAGAGGTGGGACAAAGTCATTGTTATGCAAGTCCAAGTCGAGTCTGAAGTCATCAAATTCATGACTCGAGTCTGACTCGAGTCCAAGTCACATGACTCGAGTCCACACCTCTGCTACCTAGGCCACATTGCCCGAAACGACCACAAATACCAGCTATTAAAGCAAATCCTTAAAAGGAAAAATCGAAGGGAAAAAACGACATGGCTCAGTAACATCAAAACATGGCTACAATTAACAACAGCAGCACAAACTCTACACGCCGTGCTAGACGGGGACCAATATCATCGTGAAGTCGCACACGCCGTTAGGCAGCACTAAAGAAGAAGAAGAGGTAGGCACTGATCAGGGGTTGACAGGTACGTAGAACTGACGGTAGCGGACGGAGTTACCATTTCGAATCTGAATTCTAGGAGTTTTTTTATACGGCGGAGGGACGCGAATGGACTGTGGAAAGTTTTTCAAAAGTCTTGTCGAACGTCCGCCGCGTGCGTCGCTTTAAATTGTCCTGCCATTTTTTTCTGGTGTCGTTGTTGTGTTGTGTTTGCGTGTGCGTGGAAAGCGACGATGCAATAAACGCGACGTCTCTCTACTCTTTGGTTCTTTCGGTAAAGTCATGTAAGTAGAAAAATTTGTAATGTTTAAAAAAAAATTTTAAACACGCTTTTATGAAATGTACTAGTAATGGCAGAACTCCACGACTCCAGGAAGTGACCCCGAAGCTTGCCATAACGTAAGGGGACCGTGGCCAATTGCAGCCAACGTCAGTTGACCGTAGACAATTAGACCCAAGCCGAAACATAACATATAAAAAAGAACGTTTAAAAATATACATTTAATTTTTTTATGTTAGAATATAGTATTGTCATCGGTATGACATAAGTATACCAAGTTTGCAGTCGATACCACATTGGGAAGTGTGTTAAAATTGAATTACAAGATTTGAAGATACAACAACGACAACAACAACAACAGGCAGAGTGAGTTAAAAGAAAGCGTGTAATAACAGCTCACAACGTTTCAATCGCAACACAAGCAAATCGTCATCAGGTGGGATAACCACAGCAAGAAAACAACTCCCCGCCTCTTTCTTCTCTCCTCTCTCTGTCTCTCTCGCTCTTTACGCTCGCAGTGTGTTTAATCAAACCACAAGTCATTGTACGTGGCACAGAACCCCCCCTCCCCCACCTCGCCCCAACCACGTGGGCACAGACGGAAACCAATAGCGGGTGGTGGTGGTACTGGTGGTGGTGGTAACACTGGGGAGTGGTAGTGTAGCAGTTAGCACGCTACTCTACGAATCTGACAGCCCGAGTTCGATTCCCGCTCACGGCCAACGCCAGTGACGATTATCTGAACCGGTTCTGGGCCTCAAACGAGTACCTGATGCGGTGTGTAAACATCACCACTGGGGAGACAAAGGCGGCCTTGCGAGGTGCTGGCCACCCACCCCCTCGTGTGCCGTGCCACCCCTTCATAGGTATTCGCTAACAGCACTTGCCCCAACAATCTGTTAAGACTATACGGGGGTGTCTTTGGCTTTGGTGGTACTGGAGGTGGTGGTGCTGGTGGCTACACTGCTACACGTGGCTAGCCTGTTGATCCAACGCTTTGGAGGCAGCAGCAGCGAGGGTTGGTAGATCACGCACAGATGGGCAATGTTTAGTATGTGGGTAATGTAACTCTATGGGCAATGTCAGTAGCGACAGAAATACGGAGAAGCTACTTGTAGGGTCCATATTGGCCCCACAGTTGTGACGAAACCGGTAATTGGTAAACTATTGTTGGCTCTTCAGCCCCCAAAATAACGTTATCATACTATGTTCACAAGCCTTTAGGGTCAAACATTTGCAGAACATGCCAGCGAAATCTTCTTGGTTCTTCCGGTAAAGTCACGTAGAAGGGAAATAATAAAATAATAATATTATGTTTTATTTGTATTATTTTAAATTATTTTATTATGTTTTATTTTTATTATTTTATTATTTCCCTTCTACGTGACTTCACCGAAAGAACCAAGAAGATGAATCACTGCAGTCACGAAAGCTTCAAATCTAGAACCTAAACCATACCCCATTTCAACACCGTACCACCATATACGGGCAAAGACATGAATATGGTTTAGGTATTTTGGATCCCAAACATCGATTCTGCCCACCAAGACATCGATTCTGCCCCGTCAATTCGACACCTGCTCGGGGCCGCCATCTTGAAAATGTCCACTGTTTCAACTTAAAACCCACGGTCAACGGAGCAAAAGTGATGGGCTTGTAATGAGATGTTTAGTGTCAGTCTGTTCTAACACTCAATGATACGATTGTGTTGATTCGCTTTGCAAAAACATAATTTTATTATTCCTTTAAAAAAAATGTTTTTTTACAGTGCGGCATGAGATCGGTGGGCGAAGCTGTCTGGAGATTCTGATGAGTCACTTTCAGCTTCGGTTACATTTTTCATCGACATTGCTCAAATTGCACTGGGCAAACTATTGAGCAGAATCAATAACAGCATGGTCACGTCGTGGTTGAGGAATTTGACTAAAACTCCCTTTTTGTTTCGCGTCAGTTTTTATTGTATTACATCGCCACGATCAAAGTTCATTTATTAGGTATAGCCCTGTGAGCCATTCGGCTCTTGAATCGGGTGCAACCGCAACAAACAAAAAAAACATGAACAAGAAAACATCTTAAAGTGACTATGTGCAAACAAAAAATCCAAGAAAAGAGCAAAATATTGCAGAAAAACTCACCGCACACCAACGCTGTGTGCAAATATCCCAGTGGGATGCAAGTCAAACAACAACAACCACAAGACAACTTAGATTAAGGCCATCAGTCTAACTCTGTACTACAACAAACAAACATGGTCAAACCAAAAAACTTTTCGAAAATCACCAAAATAAAGCCATAAAAGCAATGAAACAAAAGTGGTCATATGAACTGTGACCGAATTTTCACAATAAACGACGTAAACAACATGTACTACCAAACTCTGGAGCCACGTGGCGCGGTTGCGTCATAGCCTTACCAGAGAGATTCGCCTCTGCTAGCCGTGACGACCTGTCTTATTCCCTTTGCCGTGGGGGATCCGAGTCGAGTACGGGCGCTGTAAAGCGATAGTTCAAGTTCAAGTTCATTTATTTAGATATAGCCCTGTGAGCCATTCGGCTCTTGAATCGGGTCCAACCGTAACAAACAAAAACAAGAACAAAAAAACATCGTAAAGTGAATATGTGACTGAGTGCAAACAGAAAATACAAGAAAAGACAGTAAAATATTGCAGAAAAAACACCGCACACCAACGCTGTGTGCAAATATCCCAGTGGGATGCAAGTCAAACAACCAACAACAACCACAAGACACCTTAGATTAAGGCCATCAGTCTAACTATGTACTGCAACAAACACACATGGCTAATAGAATTGGTCTGTGTAATGCGGAGGGATCAATTGTTCGTACGTGTAGAGGACGCCTGACCCATCCTCACACACTCGCACCACAGGGTCGAAGGTCAGGGGTCACCCACGTCGCGCACACACGGCACGCTCGGGCATCGAATGGAGATCGGGGGTGTGAACTCTGACGTGCATGTCACGCAATCCGATGGGTGAGTGGTTGACACTCATATTCCTAGGTTTTTTCGGTAAAGTCACGTAGGTAAAAAAATTAAAATGAATAAAAGTAAAATAAAATAAAAATCACGACGTTTCGGAGGCAATACAAGCTTCCGTCTTCAGGTGGAACAGTCACAGCACGATAGCTGTATCAAGTGAGAGAAATTTCCAATAAAAAACTTATTTATATATATACTGGTTGAGGGTGGGGGGAGCCAAGGTATAGGCCCTGAATATTATTTTTGTGAGGTTCGGTGCGGCTGAAGCACGCTGTTAGGAATGAGCCTTTGTTGTGTAAACTAGGTGCGGATGATGTAAAGGTGCCGTGTGAATGGGACTGAGCCTTTTGTTATGTAGAGATGATGCGGCTGAAATCGCTGCCAGGAAATTTTATTTTATTTTTATTTAACTTTTATTAAAAAAAATTTTACCTACGTGACTTTACCGAAAAAACCTAAGAATATGAGCTGATTGGTGGAGAAGAGGGCTAAAAGGGAATGGAAAACGTGGGAACGGGTTGGTTTGTTAACGCGTAGCAGACTTTCGCGATCAATATTCATGATAAAGGATTTTAGGTTAGATCGCGTAAGTACAAATGTGTCGTAACCCTCCACCATCCGACAGCCGGTAAGGCTTGTCACGTAAACAATACACGTCAAAAGTTACTCGCATAAATCGTGACTTAAAGCTTTCGTGACTGCAGGAATTCATATTATTTGAGTCTTTCGGTAAAGTCACGTAGATAGGTTCAAAGAAAATAAAAAAAATCTACGACGTTTCGATCGCAACACAAGCAATCGTCATTGCTTAGTTACTAGTATAAATCGTGACTTAAAGCTTTCGTGACTGCAGGAATTCGTATTCTTTGGGTCTTTCGGTAAAGTCACGTAGATGTTTTGTTATTTTCTTTGAACCTTAATATTTCAAGCCCCCCCACCTTTGACCATAGAGGGAGAGGGGGATGGGCGGTGGATCCATGAATACAAAACGCAGTTGATGTTTGTTTTAGGATAACCTCTCGTGCCCCCCCCCCCCCCCCCAGCCAGCAAACATTAAATAGACGCAAACCACCAGGCAGAGCCGCGTCTAACTCGACTCAGTTGCGCTGTTGGCAGCGTCCCGTTCACGAGTCTCTGCGACCACATCGTTCACCGTCTGCCCAGGCCGCGCGTTCAGCGGAAAGCCACGAGGTGAAGGATAACACTGGTCAACACACTTTTTCTGGCATAAGGTATTTTCCAACGGGTTTAAGGTAATTTTGGGGTGCTGATTTCAAATGTGGCATCAGTTTTTGTCTATCACATCAGGTTTTTGAGATATCAAATATTGAAATTTTAATAAAAACTGCAGAAGAAAAATATTAAATAAATGTGGATATCTACATAGAATTATATTATAAACACACTATCCTAAAAATACAGCACCATATTTTAACACTAAAGCAGTCACTGACTCGCAACAACTTGTAATCATAAGTGACAGAGTTAATTTCGGGTAAAATCAATGAAAATGGGGTATGCCGATAGCATAAAAATAAGATGTGATAGAGCAAATCTGAGATCAGATTTGGAATCAGCACCCTGAATTTAGTCTAAAACAGCTGCAAAAGTCCAGGCCAGAAAAAAGTTTTTTTTGTTGACCAGTGTAATGGCCACGGAGCGCATTCATGGGCCGACCCCACTTTTAAGTGGACGCCACTTGATATGTTAACTACCTCGCCTGGTGTGCAGGAGGTCGTGGGTTCGATCCGGACCCCTGACGATGCCTGCTGCTGTATATTTTGAGTCTGCGTCTCTCTCTCTTTCTCATCATCATCACGGTGGCTAGGCGATGTTAACTACCTCGCCTGGTGTGCAGGAGGTGCCTGGATTCAATCCCGACCCTGACGATGCCTGCTGCTGTATATTTTGAGTCTGCGTCTCTCTCTATTTCTCATCATCATCACGGTGGCTATGAGATGTTAACTACCTCGCCTTGTGTACAGGAGGTGCCTGGATTCAATTCCGACCCTGATGATGCCTGCTGCTGTATATTTTGAGTCTGCGTCCCTCATCATTATCACGGTGGCGAGGAGATGTTAACTACCTCGCCTGGTTTACGGGAGGTCGTGGGCTCTATCCCGACCCTGACGCATACTGTATATTTTGAGTCTGCGTCTCTCACCATCATCACGGTAGCTAGAAGATGTTAACTACCTGGCCTGGTATACGGGAGTTCGTGGGTTCTATCCTGACCCTGACGCATGCTGCTGTATATTTGCAGTCTGCGTGTCTCTCTCTCTCTCTCTGTCTGTCCCCGTGGTGGTGTGGATTTTTCTCGGGGTCGTCCCATTCTTACCCTCCACATTCAGAATCGACGTACATTCAGAGTAGCGAAATTGTCTGCTGTTCATCAACATGTCCACATGCTGATGAGTCACGTGGTTGAGCTGCAATCGTTTGTGATGGTCGCTTCTGATCAAGTGCGACATTGCAGCTCAGTGGGATCTTATACTGGTCAGAACCACCTGGTTCCACCAGCCCAAGGGGATTATTGTGTCCGTCCGTCCGTCGTGAATCCAAAAATGGGTGGGGTGGGGCTGGGTGAAGAGGGGAGGGTGGGGAGGGGCTGGGTGGGGAGGGGCTGGGTGGGGAGGGGCTGGGTGGGGAGAGTGGGGCTGGTTGGGGGGTGGGGCTAGGTGGGGAGGGTGGGGCTGGGTGGGGAAGGGAGGGTGGGGAGGGGCGCGGTGGAGAGGGTGGGGAGGGGCTGGGTGGGGAGGGTGTTGCTGGGTGGGGGGTGGGAGGGATGGGGCTGGGTGGGGAGAGAGGGGCTGGGTGGGGAGGCGAGGCAAGGGTAGGGAGGGGCTGGGTGGGGAGGGAGGGGCTGGGTGGGGAGGGGAGGGTGGGGAGGGGCTGGGTGGGGAGGGGCTGGGTGGGGAGGGGAGGGTGGGGAGGGGCTGGGTGGGGGGTGGGAGGGGAGGGGCTGGGTGGGGAGGGGCTGGTCACCTCGTGGTGCCCTTATGAAACTCAACGTTTAACCTACTCACGCCGGCTTGTGCCCGCCCTCACAGTCGGGCATATTTGCGGAATACACCACGCCGCAGTTGACCCTGCCCATTGACCGAGCAACCAAACGTTCCTACCAGCTCCCTCCGCAGGAATGTGTTACCTGGTGAAATAAAAAATAGTTTACGGTTCAATAGACCCATATGATGGTCGTATCGCAATATGCCCAACAGAGGGCGTGAAAACTGCGTTCCTAAAACTCACCTCGCGTCATTAAAACATTGTACATTTTACTGGTAGGAACGAAGTGAACCAGCCTACAATAGATTATATCGTCCGTCCGTCCGTCCGTGTAGCAACATCGCCCCCTACTGCAAACACTTGGCATGACCCTACAAAAACCTTTAGACTCAGTGATGCTTTCCTGGCTAAACAAGTGTAACATTCCCTTATAATTCCCTCAGATAGCTTTTAATTAAAACATTTAAATTAATGAGGCTTTCCTGGCTAAACAAGTGTAACATTCCCTTATAATTCCCTGAGATAGCTTTTAATTAAAACGTTTAAATTAAAATTTAACTCACAGCGGCCTAAAGCCTACAGCTAGGCCTAAAGCCTCGAACAACGCCTCAAACTCTCCCTTCGTATCGTACCCCCGCGTGTGTGAAAGGGAGTTAATGTTTAACAATGTTACATTTCCTCATGTTTTTAAATAGAAACATTTACATTTAAAGCTTTTACATAAATAATTAAAACATTTAAATTAAAATTTAACTCACAGCGGCCTAAAGCCTACAGCTAGGCCTAAAGCCTAGAACTAGGCCTAAAACTCTCCCTTCGTATCGTCCGATTAGGTGTAGCAACATCGCCCCCTACTGCAAACACTTGGCAGGACCCTAGAAAAACCTTTAGACTCAGTGGGGCTTTCCTGGCTAAACAAGTGTAATAATACATTATGTTTATATTCTTTGGTTATTCGTTCCTACCAGCCCACCCCGCAGGGTCCTGTTTATATTCTTATTCTAGATATAAGCAGACCGTGTCTACCTACCTTCGCATATGCGTCTCTCTACACGAAAAAAATAAATGTGTCTACTCATGTAGGTGGTGTCAAAATCTGGAATCGTGTAAGTGTGTAGTGTGTTCATGGTGCAGTGTGTAGAGATATGAACAAACATTCTAGATTTGAAGCTTTCGTGACTGCAAGGATTCATATTCTTAGGTTTTTTCGGTAAAGTCACGTAGGTAAAAAATTAAAATTAATAAAAGTAAAATAAAAATAAAATAAAAATCACGACGCTGTATCACAAGTGATACAGCTATCGTGCTGTGACGGTTCCGCCTGAAGACGGAAGCTTGTGTTGCCTCCGAAAAGTCGTGATTTCTTTTTTACTTTTATTAATTTAAATTTTTTACCTACGTGACTTTACCGAAAAAACCTAAGAATATGAACAAACCTGTCCGTATTTCCAGTTTGTCTGTTCGGACCGAGGCAGCCTGGTAAGCCAAACTACCCAGTAGTCTCCTCCGTGTAGCCTGACTCTCACGACACTTAAGACAAAGACAAAAATCCCCCGTATAGCCTGAACAGACTGTTGAGGCAAGTGCTTTTAGCGAGCACCTATGAAGGCCGACACGGCACACGAGGGGGTGGGTGGCCAGCACCACCACGCCCGGCCGCCTTTGTCGCCCCAGTGGCGATGTTTACACAAGGCACCAGGTACTAATTTGAGGCTGAGTCGACCTAAAGAAGGCCCGGGACCGAATCATAAAATTGTGACTGTTGATGGCCATGAGCGGGAAGCGAACCCGTGTTACCGGGTGTTAAGCGCAGTGCAGCGTAGCACTAAGGGGCCGTCCATAAATGACGTCACACGATTTGGGACAATTTTGACCCCTCCCCACCCTTCGTCACACGGCGTCACAAAAAGTCAGACCCCCCCTCAAATATGACGTCACAAAGCTCTGTCCCCCCTCCTGCCCCCCCCCCAAAAAAACATGCTTCAAATCGCTTTAAACTATTGTCATTGTAGTGCGTATTTAATGTGGCGATGCACTCTGATGTTGTAGGACAAAACATGTATTAAAAGTCTATTTAATTAAGTAGAACGTGTTGTCTATATTTATTAAAAGTTGCGCATTTTGATGTGACGTCACATTTCTCAACCCCCCCCCCTCGTCCATAAATGACGTCACGTGCGTGACGTCATTTATGGACGACCCCTAACCACTACACTACACACACTCACAACACACATACGCACATAACGAACGTTGTTATTTTGAACACTGTATTCTTAGGTGTTTTCGGTAAAGTCACGCAGGTAAAACATCAAAATTAATAAAAATAATAAAATAAAATAAAGATCACGACGTTATTTTATTTTATTCTTTTTATTAATTTTGATGTTTTACCTACACGGTGACTTTACCGAAAACACCTAAGAATATGATTCCTTGCAGTCACGAAAGCTTCAAGTCTAGAATTGAACACTGTAGTTGAACATGTTTAATTTTAATTAGTACGCGAGGTTCACTTGATCAAACAATGTTTTCTATTGTCCTTGTTCTTTTTTTTTGGTCTGGTTTTCATTTAAAGCCCTCTTGGGTTTCTAACCTCACCTGGACCACCTTTCTACCTTCTAACTTGTTGTAAACACAAGCCCCAAACCGCTTCGGCCATTTCATATCCACGCGCGCAATCACGTGCACCTTTGCAAAATGTGATTTGTCGCACATTTGCGATCCTTTTGACGTCCGGTAGCTGTGGAAGGTGTGGAGACAACCAGACAGTGGGGGGGGGGGGGGGGGGCAAATGGTCCAATAGGGGGCGCGGCATGATGCTCTAGCCCAGGGGTCAGGAACCTTTTTGACTGGGAGAGCCATAAAAGCCAAATATTTCTAAATATATTTCATTGAGAGCCATTTAGTATTTTTAACGTATAATAAATTAAATATGTATCACTTTTAATGCGACTTCTGGTGCTGCATGGTTTTGCTGATGGCCTTGTAGTCTGCTTCGTACGTGGTGAGGTTGAGCTTCGTGCAGGCGTGACCCGTGAAATTTATCTTCAAAACTAATTTCTGTTTACTTTAAAATGACACAGTATTATTAAGCAATATCACAAGTATTTTAAAATCAGTTCCAAACTGATTTTTTGTTTTTTCATTATTATTATTTTTTTCAACTCAAAATTGTCTGGGAGCCCATATGCCGTCACTGGAAGAGCCATATATGGCTCGCGAGCCATAGGTTTCCGACCACTGCTCTAGCCACACCCCACACATGCCTCCGCGCCTTCCCTCTTGCGGATGTGCTTGCTGTGATGTGGACAAAGCAGTTGCAGGCGAATAATTCGAGCGATTTCGATTTAAAGCTTTCGTGACTGCAGGGATTCATCTTGTTGGTTCTTTCGGTAAAGTCACGTAGAAGGGAAGTAATAAAATAATAAAAATAAAACATAATAAAATAATTCTCACGACGTTTCGGCCACAACGCAAGCAGCCGTCCTCAGGTGGAGAACAGGTCTGGCCGAAACGTCGTGAGAATGATTTTATTATGTTTTATTTTTATTATTTTATTATTTCCATTCTACGTGACTTTACCGAAAGAACCAAGAAGAAGTCGAGCGATTTTGGGGATTATTGGGTTGGCGCAACTGACTTTGGCCCACGTCTCGTTTGACCGCATCTCACTGTCGCAGGACAACAATGTACTTCCTGTGGTCGCTGCTTGCGGCGACTCTTCTCAGCGCCCTCGCAGAGCCGCAGTACAACACAGTTCAAGGCCATTGCTCGGGGCAGAATGGACTGCCGGGGATTCCAGGAACTCCCGGGCAGCCTGGTCCCATGGGCAGGGATGGAAAAGACGGTAAGAGGGTGTACAGCGAGTAATCAGTCATCACACAGACACGGCAACAACATAGGCAAACACATGCAGAGACACACCGAGCGAGACACACACCAAGACAAACAGAAGGACAACGAATCTACTTTCGGCCGAAACCGAAAGTAGACCGAAAGTTAACTTTTTGGCTTCAGCCGAAACAGAAACAATGCCGAAAGAGGCCATTTGCCAACTTTCGGCGCCGAAACCGAATTTCGGTTGGCCTCTAATTGTCAGACTTCGAATCTCGGTATCAACACGCATGTAGACTGAAGCGAACGCAACACGTAAGCCAAGGCGGGCAGGGGGCTGGGAACAGACAACAGAGGCACTTTGTTGTCGTCCCGCCAAAGAGACTCCACCCACGGATGGAGATGCAGGCTGCCGTCTATTGACCGATCGTATATACATTAGCAGACCATGGTTGCGGCTGTAACCTCGTTCCCAAGCTGCTGCTGCTGACGTGTGTGTGTTTGCAGCCTATCGCATAGGATTGCCTAGCGCCGACTGACCGGCCGATAGGTAGAGTGATAGACATAGCACTAGCGTTATATTCTAAAAATAGATCTTCGGTTGACGAATGACGACCGAAAGTCAATATCAGTTTCGGCCGAAACCGAAACCGGACCGAAAGTTACAAATTTACTTTTGGCCGAAACCGAAAGTATGCCGAAAGAGGCCATTTGCCAACTTTCGGCGCCGAAACCGAAACCGAATTTTGGTCGGCCTCTAGTTTCAACGGAAACGTCGTCTTCTATTATTATTTTATTTTATATTCTATGTGACTTTACCGAAAGAACCAAAGAGTAATTCCTGCAGTCACGAAAGCTTCGAATCTAGTATGAGCTCCACACGATGCGCTAATCAAAGTTTCGCTTGTTCAGCTCTTCTGCGCATTCGTCCTCGCTGCGCTTGTTCGACGTGACAACGTAATGATCCGTGCCAGGTGGGTCGCGGCGTTTATGAGCGCGGTGGGACGGAGTCGACAAAAATAAATAAATTAAGAGCTCATCTTCTTGGTTCTTTTGGTAAAGTCACGTAGAAGGGAAGTAATACAATAATAAAAATAAAACATAATAAAATAAAATAATTATCACGACGTTTCGGCTACAACGCAAGCAGCCGTCTTCAGGTGAAGAATGAGACACTGCCAAGCTAGGAGTTTATATATAAGCTGGGTTGGAGGTGGAAGAAGAGCGCCTTAACAAAAAGAATGTGCATATCAAGAGGAATTTAGCATATTCATGGGAAATGCGTAGGAGGTGGGCGGGGGGGGTTTCAAAGTCATATTATGCCCATGCATTATGCAGGATCAGCAGCACCAAGGGAGGGTGCAGGGAGTAGCATTAACAAAGGAAGAGTTTTACTTCAATTTAAAGCTTTCGTGACTGCAGGGATTCATCTTCTTGGTTCTTTCGGTAAAGTCACGTAGAAGGGAAATAATAAAATAATAAAAATTAAATTATTCTCACGATGTTTCGGCCACAACGCAAGCAGCCGTCCTCAGGTGAAGAGCAGGTCTGTCGAGAAGACAGAGTCTGAATGACACACCCCAGGCTTGGAGCGTCTATTTAAGCTGGGATGGAGGGGGAAGGGTGCCCTGACAAAGGAATTTGCATATCAAGAGGAATTTTAGCATATTTATGGGAAATGCAGATATGTGATTAGTACTACTTGTGAAATGCGTAGTGGGTTTGGCGGGGGGTTTAAAGTCATATTATGCCCGTGCATTATGCAGGATTAGCAGCATCAAAGGGAGGGGATAGGGGGAAGCATTAATAAAGGGAAGGAATGTTAGTAGTATGTAGCTGTAGTAACTATACCACCACGTAAACCAAACTAAAGTATAAACTACATAGTATCATCCGTATACTAAATATACTCTCCAATAAGCTGAGCTACTAACAGTAAGTAATACATTATTTCCCTTCTACGTGACTTTACCGAAAGAACCAAGAAGATGAGTTTAACTTCAGTTAATTCTGGGCCCTAGGGTCCCGCCATGAGGTTCAATTGTAATATTATAACATTGACATTAGACATTGGAGCAAACATGTGAATTTGTGTTGTGGGATTTGCAGGTCCGTCTGGACCAAGAGGTGACCCTGGTGCTGCAGGAAGCCGAGGTGAACCAGGTAAACTCTTAGCCAGAAACGTTTTATATTTTGGTGAAATTATAGACTTAATCGTCAACTGGAAAAGGACCACTTCCCAATGACTGCAAAACTTGGTATACTTGTGTCATGCTGATGACAATACTCTATTCTATCATAAAAAGTAAAAGATATGTATTTTTAAACATTCTTTTTTATATGTTATGTTTCGCCTTGGGTCTAATTGTCCATGGTCAACTGATGTTGGCTGTAATTGGCCACGGTCCCTTACGTTATGGCACTTCCTGGAGTCGTGGAGATCTTCCATTACTAGTACTTTTCATAAAAGCGTGTTTAAAAAAATAGTTTTTATTAAATATTACTTATCTTTTTTAAATGTTGGGATGTATTTGACAGTTGACGCCCACACCGCCCCTCTCTGTGCCTCCCTCGCTACCCTGCGTTGCCCAATCTCGCTTTCTCCCTTCTGCTCCCTTCTCACTCCCTTCCCCTGGAACTAACTCCCCTTAGAGTACACAGAGCGACCACCTTCCCTACAGCAAAAACAACTACAGGCTGCAAGCTTCCGCTCCTCCCTTAGAACAACTCCCATTTATTCTCCCCTGGCCAAGCATCATCATCCTGATACTTATCCTCCCTGCTCTCCAAATACGACCTTCCTCTAACCCCTATGACTACCCCTACCCCTATCACTACCCCTATCATTACCCCTATCATTACCCCTACCCCTATCACTACCCTTATAATTACCCCAACCCCTATCACTACCCCAACCCCGATCACTACCCCTATCACTACCCAAACCCCTATCACTACCCCAACCACTATCACTACCCAAACCCCTATCACTACCCCAACCACTATCACTACCCAAACCCCTATCACTACCCCAACCCCTATCACTACCCCAACCCCTATCACTACCCCAACCCCTATCACTACCCCAACCAATATCACTACCCCAACCACTATCACGACCCCAACCCTATCACTACCACAACCCCTATCACTACACCAACCAATATCACTACCCCAACCACTATCACGACCCCAACCCTATCACTACCACAACCCCTATCACTACTCCAGCCCTATCACTACCCCAACCCCTATCACTACCCCAACCCCTATCACTACCCCAACCCTATCACTACCCCTATCACTACCCAAACCCCCATCACTAGCCCAACCCCTATCACTACCACTACCCCTATCACTACCCCAACCACTATCACTACCCCTACCCTATCACTACCACAAACCCCCCTTTTACCTCTCCCGCCTGTTATCCTGTCACCACAACTACACCATCACTACTTTTACGTGCAATTTGTACAATTGTTTTTGGCAAGCACCTTGAAATATGGTACTGCTATATAAATATATGTACGATATATAACGTAAGACGCATGGCCTACCACTTTTAGTTTTGTAAACGTCGCGTGATCTTTAACGTCCACCTGTGAAGTAGCTGGATACTCCCGCAGTATTGACCAGCCATGGGGCTCCAACCGCGAACCTCTGGGACAACAAACGGCAAATCTCCTAGCCACGTGGCTAGAAGATGTTAACTACCTCGCCTGGTGTACAGGAGGTCGTCGGTTCAGGTCCAAACGCCTGCTGCTGCTGCTGTATATTTGTAGTCTGCGTGTTCTCCATGTTGGCCGTTATATATTTCCACGGGATGATAAGCCACTTCGTTGAGCTATCATTTGCGATAACCAGGTCGCCTCTAATAGTTTAAGAAATGTACTATGTATTTGTTTACATAATTACACAGGAAGTATAATAACAAAGCATGTTGTATCTTGATTTGAAGATGTTGTGACTGCAGGAATCCATACTCTTTGGTTCTTTCGGTAAAGTCACGTGGGTATAAAATAAAATAAATCACGACGTTTCGGGCGCAACACAAGCGTCCGTCATCAGGTGGGAAAGTGTGGCCTGCTGCTGAGGCAGACTGTTTTTAAACAGTATACAGTGATACCTCGGTTCACGAACTTAATTCGTGAACTGACTCTGGTCGTGAACCGAATTGGTCGTGAACCGAGGCACATTTTCCCACAGGGTTCAATGTAAATCCGGTTAATCCGTTCTGACCTTTTTTTTTTGGTTTTTGAAGCACAAAAATATGAAACAAATGACAATACACATTAGTACTGTACAGTATAGTAATGTATAAAGAGAGAACACTAACCTTGCTTGAGATGACTTCAGTAAGCACTCAAACGGGTGAACTGTACAATACAGTAAGTACAGTATTGTACAGTACAGTAGTACAGTACAGTATGTGCTAAAAAGCACACCAAAAATCAAAAAGTCACTGAAAGAGTCTTCACAGTACTCACAGTACTTCTTTCTGTGTCTCTGCTTCTCTCCACGATCTTCCTACAGGAAGTCACGACCACGTGACAGCCTGGAATTAGCATAAAAATGGCCGCGGCTCCTGTTCGTGAACCGAAGCGGAGTTTGTGAACCGGAGCATATTTTTCTGAAATTTTCTGTTCGTGAACCGAGTTGTTCGTGAACCGAAGCGTTCGTGAACCGAGGTATCACTGTAAAGCATGTTGTGTTTTTATTTATTTAAGGATTGCCCGGAAAGATCGGACCCAGCGGAGCGGACGGGCCAATTGGACCTCCAGGACTTCCCGGCCCAAAGGCAGACAAAATAGACTTTTCAACGCTGCCAAAGTCAGCCTTCACTGCCAAGATCTCTTCCTCAAAGCCTCCAGCGGATTCACCCATTAAGTACGACATCGTCATCTCGAACGAGCAAAACCATTACAATCCCTTAACTGGAAAGTTCACATGCGTTCATCCCGGCACCTACTACTTTGTGATACACGCACACGTTCGCGAAATCACCATATGTCTGTCCATCATGAAGAATGGGAGCAAGATCTCCAATAGTTGCATTGACTTTCACGCTGCCATTCATTCCATGGCCATGAGCGGGGGTTCAGTGATGAAGCTGAAGGAGGGAGATGAGGTGTGGGTTCAATCGCAAAGCCCTTACGTTGGTCTCTATTACCAACCCGGTTATCGTGACGACACGTTTACAGGTTTTCTCTTGTTTCCCGACTAGGAAAAGAGTACTGTACACATGTAACACAAATTCTAGCAAACTTTCGATTTACAATCTAAATAATTATGTACTTAGCTTATACACTACTGCTATGCGAAATCCAATTTGAGAAAAGTCATTGGGAATCCGGAGGCCCCTCGCCTTTAAGTGGCATGCGGAGGAGAGGCACGTGAAGGAAAGCTCCTCCTCATAATCGCTCCCTCTCGTCGTGCATCACTAAATGTGGTGACTGACACCAGGGCGGTGATTTCTCCCGCACCTTCCGACGAGCACGGTTGGCTCTAGTATGGTGCGAAAGAAGTTAAACATACGTAGAACTACATGCGTACGTACAGAGAGCTGACGCTCAATCAGAAGAAGCTGAGCCGGAGTGGGGAATCACAGCGGAGGAGGGTGACCATGTGAATAGCTGTGCCAGAGGTCGCAAACGGGTTTTGATTCCTTACCCGTACCCGTACCCGGCCGCACCAGGGTCGCAAACGGGTACCCGTACCCGTACCAAGCCGTACCCGTACCCCAACCGTACCCGGCCGGGTACGGGTGGGGTACGGGTATCGGGTACCTGATTGCGACCTCTGGGATGAAGCCATGTTGCAGGCGTGGGTGGGTTGATTCTAGGAACTTGAATTGTGAGAAGAGACAAGACGTTAGGAAATGAGTGGCAAACGGTTACTCACCATTGACTCACGGCCTACCCGTACCCGGCCGCACCAGGGTCGCAAACTCTCCCACTCACTCACTCACCCACCCACCAATTCAGCTACTCACTCACTCACTCACCCACCCACTCACCCACTCACTCACCCACCCACTCACCCACTCACTCACTCACCCACGCACCCACTTACTCACCCACCAACCAGAGGTCGCAAACGGGTTTTGATTCCTTACCCGTACCCGGCCGCACCAGGGTCGCAAACGGGTATCGGGTACCCGGTTGCGACCTCTGAGCTGTGCTTTCGAGGAATGCCGTGGCTGAGTGGGAATGTGGGCAATCACAGGGAAGGGCTGACCGTGGGAATGGCTGTGCTTTTGAGGGACGTGGTGTGGAGATAGTGAAATGGAAGAATATGTGAGACAGCGGAGGCAAGACCAGAGCATGGGTTAATGTTTAATTCAGCAACATATTTCCACATCTCCGATTGGCACAGTTGGATACGAAAAGTGCGAAAGACGGTCAACATACAGTAAGTACATACAACATTTAAGTAGATGTCTTTTTTAAAATGGATTTCGTTATACGGTTGCAAATGACGACGAGATACACTCATGTGAAAATAAAAGTATTCGAAAACGGATTTTATGACTGGAACTCGGTCATTGCACTGGTGACACTCAGTGAGTACAGCGACATGGGTTTACTCCACATAGAACACACCCAAGAAGAAGATGAAACCGGCGTAACCAAACAACACGGGAACACTGCATGCACAGGCGAGCAAATTGAGAAGCTATTGACGAGGACGCAACGCATCACAAAAAGGGGAGAACGGCACTGAAGCCAAAGGACCTGAGACTCAGTTGAAGAAGAACCCTTGAGGCAGATAGCGGACCCCCAACAAAGAACGATGGAAGTCAGGGACTCAGTCCCGCAGGTGGGAGCTAGAGGAGGATCGCGAGTTACAAGCGGAGGCAGAGGAGCCACCTTGCGACCAGAGGTCGCAACCGAGTACCCGATACCCTTACCCTACCCGATACCCGGCTACCCATACCCGGCCGGGTACGGGTACGGGTAGCCGTTTGCGACCCTGGTGCGGCCAGGTACGGGTAGGCCGTGAGTCGCTGGTGAGTAACCGTTTGTCACTCATTTCGGGTAGGGTATGGGTAGGGAACGGGTACCCATTTGCGACCCTGGTGCGGCCGGGTACGGGTACGGGTAAGGAATCAAAACCCGTTTGCGACCTCTGCTTGCGACGTAACACGACCCGAGGGACTGTATCTGACGAGGGGAGAAGCAGCGGTCGAGGGTGCTCGTCTAATCTGCGATGCCCTGGAACAGGTGACCATCATCGACCGGGAACCGCAAGAAAAAGACATCTAAGCCAAAGCACTATCGTGCTCCCCCCCCCCTCCCCCCTACCCGGATACTACGGAGGGAGATGGAAGGTTGATTCGGGAGTTGCTAAAGAAAAAAGAGTGAGGGATTTGGACCAAATGGCGAAAGTTGGTCGCAAAATAATTTTGAAATGGGAGGATGCCAGGAGATAGCGAGTGACACTACCGAAAGTGGAATCTACCGGTAAGAAACCTCCACATCCATCAGTGGAGTCATGGATATCGAGGCCCTCTCCTCCTGGACGCCTTCCCACCACCCCTCCCCCTCATCGCATTCAAGATGGCTCCAACCAGAGGTCGCAACCGGGTACCCGATACCCGTACCCTACCCGTACCCGGCTACCCATACCCAGCCGGGTACGGGTACCCGTTTGCGACCCTGGTGCGGCCGGGTACGGGTAGACCGTGAGTCACTGGTGAGTAACTGTTTGTCACTCATTTCCCAACGTCTTGTCTCTTCTCACAATTCAAGTTCCTAGAATAAACCCACCCACGCCAGCAACATGGCTTCATCCCAGAGGTTGCAATCGGGTACCCGATACCCGGGTACAGGTAGGGTACTCGTACGGCCGGATACGGGTACCCGTTTGCGACCCTGGTGCGGCCGGGTACGGGTACTGGTAAGGAATCAAAACCCGTTTGCGACCTCTGGCTCCAACGTTGAAAATGGCTCCCGGCTTATATTCACTCCCCGGAGGCTAAGCCCCGCCTCTGGCCACGCCCTGCCTCTGGCCACGCCCCTTCTGGAACCTTCGGGAACGTTCCAGAGGCTTCCCTGGTAGATCCGCCCAATCACCTTTACCCCAGATATAATCCCTACTATGGAAAAACCGTATGATAAGTAATGTAACCCCTACAAAAATTCAGTAGATGGCGCTCTTTTATTACAAATGGAGCAAATACGTTTGTTCGTAATACTCTTCGTTTTTTCGGTAAAGTCACGTAGGTAAAAAATGAAATAAAAATTAATAATAAATAAAATAATTATAAATCACGACGTTTCGGAGGCAACACAAGTCTCCGTCATCAGGTGGGACCGTCACAGCCAGATTTGCTGTATCACTTGATACATCACTTGATACATCACTTGATACAACAAATCTGGCTGTGACGGTCCCACCTGATGACGGAGACTTGTGTTGCCACCGAAACGTCGTGATTTATTATTTTTTTTTTAATTAATTTTAATTTCATCTTCTCACCAAACGCCTGCGTCTCCCGAAGAGTCATCCTCCTGAATTCCTGACCATCATCGGTCCACCTTCAACCATCGTCGCCAAATCGTCATCATCAAAGGTAATCAAAAACACATTGTTCTGCGTAATGTTTTATTCATTTGATTGCAGTAATTGCTATAAAACGTTAACCCCCCCATGTTAACTCGTACCAGGAAAGTAACCCGCATTTTTCCCCATTGAACGAGGTTTCTGCATTCGCGATTTCAGCATTTGCGTGCATTTTCAAGAACAAATGGAGAGGGTTTACTGATATTTACGTGAATAATTATTAAAGGTAGGTTTACACAGTAATACGATACCATTATGTTTAAACGAAATATACGTCTGTGCCTTCTAACGCTATTTTTCCTATAAGTGTTCGGTATTTTGATATTCGCCGATGTTTTTCTTTTTTTATTGTATTTCAACATGAGCCCGGTACAGAGCACAACCCGGGGGGGCACAGAAACTCCACGGACGGAAATCACAAAACTCTCAAAGCTCTTGGGTTTAGAGGAAGGGGAGACATGGGGCTCACTGCTTAACATAGGTGGGGACCGCGAGCATGTACGTACATTTCGATTTCAAGCTATCGTGACTGCAGGGATTCATCTTCTTGGTTCTTTCGGTAAAGTCACGGAAAAGGAAAATAATAAAATAATAAAATAATTCTCACGACGTTTCGGCCACAACGCAAGCAGCCGTCCTCAGGTGAAGAACAGGTCTGTCGGAAAGACAGCGTCTGAATGACGGCTGCTTGCGTTGTGGTGAAGAACAGGTCTGTCTTTCTGACAGATCTGTTCTTCACCTGAGGACGGCTGCTTACGTTGTGGCCGAAACGTCGTGAGAATAATTTTATTATGTTTTCTTTTTATTAATTTATTATTTCCCTTCTACGTGACTTTACCGAAAGAACCAATAAGATGTACGTACAGTAGACTCTCGATTGTCCGTGCTAATGGCGTGGAGGACGGCCACGGATCATTCAAAATCGCGGAAAATCCAAAAATACGTAGATTTTACGCGGAATCTCCATGCCAAAAAAAATCGTTTAAGTTTAGAAAATTTAGTTTGTTAATGAACAAAACAAAATTTTGCAGAAAAGGAATCGGCCGATCCATGCACGTGCTCAGTGATAACACTTTCCTGGACTCCCGCCCAACAGAAGACTCAGCCCGCCAAGTGGATTGACAGCAGAGCCACGCGAATCAACATCGATCTAACTCCGCCCACTATTGTAAAAATATAGCAACTCCTGTACTGCAGAGGCAACCGCGTGTACTTTGGATTAACCGGAGCAAAATATTTGTTCGGTGTAAGCACGTTACTTTTAATAAACATTTCCCAGAGTAACAATGTGTAACTGTTTTTTAGGTTACTAATTTGAGCTTCAGGGAAAATCCACGAGTTATTAATTTATGTCAAATCTCAGGTGCGTGGTTAATCTGCAAATTGGAAAAAAACCACACTGCGGAAATCAAGAGTCTCTTGTATGTGACGCCCTTTTTTTGAAAGACAATTATTATTATTTTAATTCACATCAACCATCTGCCTACAACTTTACGATATTACAATATTAACATCAGTCTACTTTATATGAATAGATAAATATCTTTGAACAACTTACCAGCCTAAAAATATTACATCTCGTTTGAAAACGAATTTCTGGATTAAAAACTTATTTTCGAAATTGAAAACTCATTTCCATAGAAGTGCTGTTTGTCTTCTTGGTTCTTTCGGTAAAGTCACGTAGAAGGGAAGTAATAAAATAATAAAAATAAAACGTAATAAAATAAAATAATTCTCACGACGTTTCGGCTACAACGCAAGCAGCCGTCTTCAGGTGAAGAATGAGACAATGCCAAGCTAGGAGCTTATATATAAGCTGCGTTGGAGGCGCTCTTTCTTCCACCTCCAACGCAGCTTATATATAAGCTCCTAGCTTGGCATTGTCTCATTCTTCACCTGAAGACGGCTGCTTGCGTTGTAGCCGAAACGTCGTGAGAATTATTTTATTTTATTATGTTTTATTTTTATTATTTTATTACTTCCCTTCTACGTGACTTTACCGAAAGAACCAAGAAGATGAATCCCTGCAGTCACGAAAGCTTTAAATCGAAAAGTGCTGTTTGTGTTTAGTTTGTTGTCCTTCCCCCGCACCCTCGTGTGCATATATTTTGAAAGTAATGATATTTTACTTGCTTCACCTGTAGCCACGTTGAAACTAGACAGTTTACTGGGCCGTGTCCGATTAGCACGGTTGGCTACGTAGAGAGCGAAAGAAGTCCAACATACATACATTGAAAGGAAGACACAGATATTTAGACGATTTAACTAAAAGCAGGTTTAAAAGCATTACGAATGGTAGGATTCACGTTCATCTTGTTGCATGCAGTTTGAAATGTAGCCACCCGATTGTAGTGACAGGTAAACTTCTTCCTAAGACACTGCCTAAGTTGTTTATCACGTAATCCGTAAATTAAGGGAACAACAAACCTTGAGCTATAATAAAGATATAAATAATGACATAACCTTAAAATTGTCAACACGTAAGGATCTGATGTGATTATAGCAAAAACGATTTCAAATAATCTGTTACCAAGGGAACACAGATACAGAAATAACTGCACGCCGTGTAAGATCACAGTTTGCTTGGCTCGTTTCGCCTTAGACGCATTATCGGACGCCTTTCTAGCGGCCATCATTATATTGAAGTAAGTGAAGATCAAAGCAATGATGCAGACTGTGAAAATTACGATGCTTGGAAATACTCTGAGCACGGCAATTGCCATGGGGTTGGGCATCAGGCTGTCGGTTAGATACGTGGAACAAGTCCGAGTGTTGCTCACGGTCACGCCGCTTGTGAAGACCAGAATTCCGCACGCCAGTGGGAACACTGAAGCGACGGACCAAATTACGGCCAAGAACTGAAGCGTTTTGTGGTGGCTGAACCAGCGGAGGTGATGGAAAGGGTGGCAAATGGCCACGTATCGCTCCACGGACATGAGCGTGACGCACAGAACCCC